AAAAGTTTGGATGTGGGGGGGGGTGGAGAATGACAGAAGCTGATTTTTTGGTGTATACTCTTATCTACCATGAAACATTACCATGGTAACAGCACCAGTTAAGATGATTGTATATTTAGGTCATAGTATAAAAGGAGCCTGAGCATGCGAGGAAAAGAAAGAAGAAAATGAAATAAAGCAAGACAAGAACATGTAGAGTAGAAAGCTGCAAGCCAACCGCAACCTTCCTTGTTTCCTGCTGGTTGCAGTTCACAGTCACATGTGCCTTGCAAAGGAAAGGTAGACAAGTACTTCTAATCAAAATCAAATGAAGCCACTGAAATTCAGAACCTCAAGTGTCCGAAAGAAAAATCTGAATAAAGAGCAAATCATTCAACATGAAGAAATGAAGAGGCCGTGAGACTGGAAGTTGACTTGTGAGTGTTCTCAAGAGGTAATTAGCTGTGTCACCTTGGGAAAGTCTGTTTATCCACTTCTCATGAGTTCAACTAGAAGACATCAAAAACTCTGTCTTAGTCTCTTGCCTTTTAGAAGAGAGGTGGAAATAGCATTCAGCAAGATTCTTGGTAATCTTGATGCTTTTGTTCTCCTCCAGCAGAGACAATTACTATGTAGAACCAGCATCTTGTGCCAACCAAGAATCTAAGTGTCACTGAATCTTCTTTGCTTGGGGTTTAGGAGATCCAAGGAGAACATGCAAAATTAAATGATTGGGAGCATCATTAAAACTGGATTATCACAGTTTTATTTTCCCCCAACACAGGGAAAACGAGTGATATACCTGTGTAGAGAGTCACTCAACAGTGTCGGAGTAAAGGCCTGGAGTCTAACAGGCTGTGTTTTCGCCCTGGAGCTAGACGTGCTAACTGTACAGTCTTGGGCCATCACTGGACCCTTCTGAACATGGGTTTCCTCTTCTGTGAAAAAAAGAAAATAACACCTACCTCATAGGACAGTTGTAATGAGAAAATTAGAAAATGATTTCAGATATTTACTCATTCAACAGAGATTTCGTAAGTTCTTAAGATGTGCCTGAAACTGTTTTAAACCATAAGGATTTGTCACTAGCAAAACCTAATACAATACATGTAAGCTGCTTAGGACAGTACCATGGATTTAGCATATGTTCTGAAAATGCCTAAGGAAAAATGACTCATTACACACTCAAACACACACACACACACACACACACACACACACACACACACACCTCATCACATCTCACCTCCACAAGAAGACCCAGTGGAGCTTGGTATATGCAATCACCACACTTGTATTGCTGGCCCTTAATGAAAGGGGTTGAAACATCTGCTCAATGAGCCAAAGGGAACCGATAATAGGAATGTCAGGCAATTGTTGATAACCACAAGGAGAGTATTCACAGGGTTTGGCATCTAGAATTCCATGGAGAAAATAACATGGACATCATAAAACGATGACTCAACACAAATATAATTTTCCATGAAGAAAGTCAGTCCTTCCAGGGAGCTGAGTGACATAATGCTGTCTTTATCTTACCGGATAAAAGGAAGAAATTTTAAGATCAAATAAATAATGGACTTTTGGTGGCCATGGGGAAACACATATTATTGGACATTCTTTCACATAATGCCCTAACCAAGGTCAATGCCAGAGGTGTGGATGAAACAAGTTCTATTAATGGCGAACCACAGATTCTTGCCTTTGTGCTTTCGTTTCCCCTCTCCCATTCTCTCTTCATTTTGCTTTCGTTTCTGTTATAATTTTCCTTCTTCCACCCCTGATTTCACTTTACTCACTGCTGTGGTTCACTGCCTTCTAATCAGCCAGTTTACCCTGCTTTACAGACTGCACATTCACACCTTCAGTACCCTCCCTTTCAGCAAGTGTGTGGTAACCTTTTAAAGTGGCTAATCCCTCCAGTACTCTTGGCCCTGGGGGCAGGCTGCTCTGGAGGAATTAGAAACTTGACTTGTAAACAGGCACCCAGGCTTGGGGAAACTACCTAGACAAAGAAGGAGACAAAGTCACTTTTAGAGCAAGTTTCCACTTTGTTTTTAAAGTGAAAACAGCGGAATCTCACACTCCCCACCCCCAAACTGGATGACTGTGGGAACTCACTGTCAAAGTCTTTCCACCTGTGTTTGAACTGTTAATCTCTTCTACAGCTGTCTTTGAAGTCAGTTGAGAGCTTCAAATATGTTCTTTAGGCCCCATGCACTTGAACTATGATAGAGATATTGCAATCCACCTATTTTCTCCCTCTAGTCCCCTTCCAGGCACCCTCAGGCATGCTTACATAAGCAAACATTATCTCCTTTCTTTTACAGGAAGACAAAGCATGTCATGCAACCTACTCTGACTTTTGGGTCCTATAACCTACCCTGTACCCACTCCACTATACTCACAGAGCTTTCAAACAATAAACAAACTAAGCAGAGATTCCCAGTCTTTTGGACATGGTCAAGTTTTTACTTTTTAAATTATCTGGAAATATTATTTAGTCCCATAAAGTCAACGGATCAATGGGACATTATCAATTATATTGCCACAACTGTGACACATTATTAATAATAGTGCTACCAGTAAAAGTTCATCTGGTATTAACATGACTTCTTGAGGCCCTAGCTGCAAGGCTGGCAAAGCAGGGCACTGTTGGCACAAAGTTCTCACATTCATTTGACTACAGTCTCAAAAGTACTCTTTTGCAATTGCAGCCCAGTATAGTTCTCAGCATGAAACTGTGTTGGCCAAATCAACTTGTTTTGCCTCTACAGTCTTCAGTGCCTTTCCTGTCATCCTGAGGGATGACCCAAGCATGCCCAATTGTGAGTGGTTTCTACTTAAGTGTGGAACCATTCTTATTATTGCTCGGCAATGAAAAAAAAAAAAAGTAATATCTTTGCATATGCTTATACGAAGCTGCCTACAATTACAATGTGAAAGCCTTGGCTGTACAACCCAGAGTTGCTGAACCTGGAGTTTAGGGACCCAGCTGATTCTTTTTGCAGAGACCCCTCAATCCAGCCATGCCCCAATTACAGGAAAAAAGAGAGGCATTAGCCAACTTCAGCACTCAGTCATCAGACTTCCCTGGTTGAGTTGGAGAAAGGCTACAGTCTGGTGGACAAGGGCCAAGACACATTGTAGAGACCGGCAGAACAGCCCTCCTCCCCCATACATCTCAAGAGCGAGACCACTCCCACAGCGCCAGGGTGTGGTGGGTTTTCTCCAGATCCTCCCCCACCACAACCCTACTCTAAATTCCAAATTCCTTTTTTTTCCGCAGGCCTATCCTATTACCCTAGGGTTTCTCTCTGGAGTTGGGCCAGCTCCCCTTCCACTCTGCTGGGGGCCAGGGCAAAGGCCACTGTAGTAAGGTTGCCTGGGCTGCAGATGCTGGGGGAAGGTCCAAGGCGGCTCTGCACCAGAGCGTTGGCTGGTGTACCGCAGAGATTTGGGACACTGGTTGGTGTCGCTGGATGCCTGTGCTAGTGGACTGAACATCACCAGGCTTCCGGGAACCCACCGCCAGCAAGCGCGCACAGAGAGAGCAAGAAAAGCAAAACTAAGCAAAAGAAAACGGAAAGAGAAGGGAAAGGGAAAGAGCAGGAGGTTCACAGAGCCCAAGGGCTGGAGCGAAGCCGCACTCTCTCAGGACACCCCTCGCATACCCCACCAGGCAGGCTTGGAGCCTCGGATGGCCATAGGCCCAGATCTGCAGGGGTCGTGGAGTGACACAAGGGCACGAGAGGGTGGTTAGGACGAGATGTCCGCGGGCAGCTTTATTTGCCTTAAGCGTTTACTTCCATTTCTCTGCCCTCCTCCCGCTTCTTGCAGCGAGTCACTCTCCGCAAATGTTTCCACACAAGCGCGAGAGACTCCGCTTGCAGCCAAGGACTAGGTGGGTTGGTCTACCCTCCCTCGAACCATTTTGTGGCTCAGAAGATCTGTAAGGACGCAGACGAATGGGAAATAGAGAAAGGGATACATATTTTGGAGGAGAATGAAGGCAGAGTGGGTTTCCCTTTCCTTGGCAATAATTTGGGTGAATTTTCACCTCTGGAGTGCTCTGCTAGGCAAACCTCAGACACTGCAGGGACTGAGGGTTGGAGCGCGCACAGGTGGAATTTCTGTACCTTTTACTTGCTATTGGACTTGGACTGCACCTCGCAGGTTCCGAGAGCCACAAGTTAGTGGTGATAGCCCAGCTCTTCAGGTGTCAATAATAGAGGGATTTGGAGCACACCAATCGTTTATCTACAACCCCATAGACCTCCAGGGCTGTCCTCCCAAGTTGGAAGGCCAAGTCTCTGCGCCTTCTGAGACCTACCCAGCTGCAGACCCGGGCCCTTTCCTCAGCCACAGTGGACAATCTACCTTGTGCGCTCAGCATTTAAGGATGCCAGTGCAGAGCGGGATTCCCCCTCTTTTGTCCTGGAAATCTCCCCAATCCTTACTGCCCTTTCCCTTTGCTGTGGTCACCTACCGCATCACCAAGCATGCGAAGGGCAGTTATCAAGGGGACAGTGGAATGGGGACTAGAAGGGCCTCCACTCTAAAAACACCAACAGCGTGGTGCTCAGACCCCAGGGAGGATAGAGCTCGGGGGCTTGAGGGGCAGGAGAGGACCTGGTTCTGCTTGTCTTTTCCAATGCAGCATCTGGAGTGGAGCGGACAGGGGGATGAGGAGGAAGAGGGTCCGTTGCAGGAGAAGGCGATGCTGGGGCAGCATGGCTCTCAGGCTGCTCTGACCCGCCGCGTTCCACTCGACCCAGTGACCCCCGCAATTGCACCCCCGCCCCAGCTGTGTCTCACTTCTTTCCAGCCCCGCGGTCCGTCAGTGCCCTCTCCTCCAAACCCCAGATGCGAAAGTTTGCATTGGAAAATTCGCAAGTGTGGGAGCCCCACGGACTAATTCCCTCAAACCGAGACCCACTGGGGTCTGATTAGGAGGAACCGCACGGCACCAGGGCCCTTAGCTTGGGCAACCCGGGAACCCGGCAGTGTGATGTCCTTACCTATTGCTGACTTAGCCGCCCCTGGCTGCGATTTGACGGAGTGTGGCCAGAGTGAGGAGCCTTTCGCGGGCTCAGGTTCCACCAGCTCCCGCAGGCGAACTGCGCACCGCTTAGAGTCCGAAGCCAGCAGCCAGCTCGCTTTCTCCCTTGATCTTGCAAGAGAAAAGCAAAAGATCAGTTGGCGCCGTGGCGCTGGAGGGGTGGGGCGGGGGAGGCGGGGAGACCACGGACCCGAAGGTTCTGGCGATGCCAGACTGACACAGCCAACACCCGACAGGTCACGCCAGTCCTTGGCCAGTTGGTTAGTGCGGGACCTTTTCGCTGGTTAGACTGGAGTGAAATTGCTGCTGCCCGCCACCCTGAACATCAAACCACCAGGAGGAGAAGCAAATAAGACTTTCAAACCTGGTCTTCAGGAAGATGATTGTGGAGATGGAAAAAGAACGGAGACCTGGATGTATAGAAGAACTGGGCGGGATTCATTTCTTCACCCAAGTGCCCAAGGAAGTAGTAATTAGTGTCGGGGAGCGCGTCTTCACTTCTCGCAAAGCCTCTGGCGATTTCCTAGTGGAATCTGGGACTTCAAGGCTCTGGCCAACCCGGCACGCTGGTGTGTATATCAGAGAGAGAGAGGGAGAGAGA